CAATCTTCGGTCGCGGTAATCTAATTTAATATTTTCCAATCAAATTAATTATTTTTTCAATTTGAAATTTAAACTCCTCGTTATCGGAATTAGAGTCAGTGCATCACCGATGAGGACTATTGGGCGATGCTCCACGAGCAAACAATGTAAGTATAAATTTATACTTTGAAATTTTTAATTAAAAATCTCTACAGTTTTGACAATAGATTCTAATTGTTTTCTTACAGTTTTCTTACAGTTTTTGAGCATGATTCTGGGAACCAGTAGCAGTACCCGGGGGGTATCGGGCGGTGGACCACAAGCGAACAACGTAAGTATAAATTTATACTTTGAAATTTGTTAATTAAAAATCTCTATAATTTTAACAATCGATTCTAATTGTTTTCTTGCATTTTTGTTACAGTCCCTGGACCTGAATCTAACCAGCAGGACCATGCTGACTGATGGATGACTGATGGATGATTTCGAGGACTTCAAGTCATCACTGGTAAGTCGCATGCTATTTTGTTTCCTCTGGTCCCCAACCATGTTGTAGGATGAAAGATCTGAATCAATACGGGTGACCAGTTGTATACTTGCTATTTTTGACGAGTTAAGTGAATATTAACATCAACTGTTATATTTTTTAGAGCAGGTTTTAGGGTCTTCTTGCACTCGCGTTTCTTAATGTTACAAATGAATAGTACACATTATGATTATTATAAAATTTTTACAAATATACAATCTTTATAGAATATATGAAATATTTTTCTTAACTTTATATGAATTGTATGATTGAATAGAAAATGAATTAATATAATGTGAAAACATTATATTTATCATGTGATTTAACGTGCAAGAAGGCATTTCGCGACAGGTCGATTTTTGAGTCAAAGTAACATGCATTTTATACTAGTTTCATCTTTTAAAAAGTTTACTTTGACGATAAAATCGATCAAGGATAATTGAATATTTTGATTGACAATTTAATGAATTCATTTCAATTTTTAAAGTAAATTCTTTTATCATGAAATCTCAAGTAGAGTCTTTCATTTTAAATAATTCAATTTCAATTATAATAGTTTTATTGAATAGTATTTTTCAATATTATCGTATTTTATTATTGATATATTACATATAACAAGTCGAGTCATTTTAACTAACAATTAGATACGAAATACCGTTTAGCTATTAACCAGTTTTTCTAGTCAGGATTTTCAGACTAATTTTTCCGTGTTCGTTGCCTAAGTTCATGCACATGCCCAGGTGCTATTTGCATGAGCGAAGACAAAGGGGCACGATGAATTTATTTATAACAATTCAACGACATATTGACGACTGACATTGGCTAGTGAATCGTGCGCGACGTACTGTCCACATGTGTGTGTGTGGTTAGGTTGTGGAAGTGCGTCGTTTCAGATGTTTTATGATTGCAATTTACATACAGAATTTTATAACATTAGATTTTTATCAATAATAATATCAAATTTCAATTTATCATTTATTTGAATACTGTTGATCTTAATGGATTTGAATCTTAATATTTTTCAATCTTGAATGATACATGTATACAATAGATTTTATTAAAGACTATATTCCATATATTGAAACGTTCTATACAAACGTTAATCTATATAATATAAGAACGCAAATATCACTAGCCTTTGTCAGTCTCAGAAACTAGTAAGTCCAAAATTAGAGTGTGAATGAAGTGTTATGTCCGGGTGTCGGAGGAACCCCGGGGAGTCCTCTCTAGTTTAGGCCGCGCCCGGACATTTAGAATGAGAACCGTGGAGTGTTTGTTTGAATGATTGAGTTTTGCAATTTTTTAAATATAGGGTTAGGTAGGTAGGTAACCTATTCTCTGGTGTGTGTGCTTAATCTAAGTAGGTAGGGTCAGGGCAGGACTGTCCACATTAGTAATTCGGGTAGGCGCGTTTTCGCGTGGCAGTTCTGTTCCTGTAGTTACGATTTCGAGAGTAGAAATCATGCTGATTCAAACGGTGCACTTGTGCTGTTTGTTTCGGCTTTATTTTCGACTCCTCGAATCGCGCGACTCTTAAAGTCGCTCTCTCGCGCTCGCGGTCGTGATTAGGTCCCTTTCGAAACGTTCGCCCCCTCGAGATTCACCACGTATGCTCTTGCAACAATTCGTATATTGTTGGAAGACTACGTATTGCACAAAATCTCGAGCCCGGTCTTTCGTAAGTTTCAGGCATCGGCAGGACCGCCGAAGAAAGAAAAGGCTCTCAATGAGCCGAAGAGGCCCTGACAAACTTTCTCAAGAGTGGGCTGCAACAAATGGCTTTTCATCTTCATCCTCGGATGAGAATGGAAAGTCATTCCTGTTACTACTTTGTCACTTAACTCGTCTGTAGTTGTAGTTAGTTTATTTTTCTGACTCGCTCATGTATGCATGTACCTGATGGTACATGATTGCACCATACATGCCAGCCATCCCTCCCCATAACTCGCGGTTATGATATACATAGAGTTGCGAATATCCAATAATCGCGTTTGCTTTTAGAGTTGCGAATTGTTATTTTTCGCGTTTCCTTTTCAGGGTAGTGTTGCGCCTTGACACGATACGCGATTGGTTTTTTGCAAACTTAGGTACCGAATGTTTGCTTAAAAATAGCGTTGCGAATTATCGATAAACGTGATTGCTCGTAAAGTTGCGAAATACTATTTTTCGCGTTTGCTTTTCAGGGTAGTGTTGCGAACAATCACGATTCGCGTTGCTTTTTTACTCTTTTATATATATAATAATGGATGTCAACCGCGTTTGTAATTTTCATGTTATAAATTAGCGTTGCGATCTTGATTAATCGTGCGATTTTTTATTTAGCGTTGCGATATTTTCAATTCTACCCCAATTGTAGTACTAGTAGTAGATAGTTTATTTTGTGGCCAGTACATGTCTATGTACATGTACCAATAGCCCCTGATTAAAGTTAGAGTTGCGAATAATATACAATGTTCGTGTTTGCTCGTAGAGTTACGAACAAATATTTATCGCGTTGATATATTAGTGCTGCGAATAAATACGATTCGCGATTGTCTTTATGCAAACCTAGGAACCGAGCGTTTGCTTTAAAAATAGCGTTGCGAATTTTTAGTAAACGCGATTGCGAATTAGAGTTGCGAATTACTATTTTTCGCGTTTGCTTTTCAGGGTAGCGTTGCGAATAATTACCATTCGCGGGTTGCTTTTATTCTTACAAGTCGCGTTTGGAATTTTTTCTATTATAAATTAGCGTTGCGATTGTTGATTTATCGCGTTGTTGCCCCGTAGTGTTGCGATATTTAAAACGTCTAACTTCATCCCCATATGTGCCACTCTATTGTAGTTTGAAGTAGCTTGATGTAGTTAGTTTCTTTGTACAAATTTATTTATTGTCTGATTTATGTTTCAGGGAAACATCGTGGGATTAATCAAGACACCAAGAAAAAATATTTTTTCATATTTATTTGTTTTATATGAGTTATATATTTTATTGGATATGAGTTTTTGTTTTAGGAAAACATCGTGGGAGTGACGAAGACACCAAGAAGAAAATATCTTGTCGTATTTCTTTGTTTCATGTCGGTTATAATTTATTGTATATTAGTGTATGTTTTAGAAAAACATCGTGGGATTGATGAAGACACCAAGAAGAAAATATTTCCTCATATTTCTTCATGTTTCTCCAGATTGCGTTAGAATATAAGTACAAATGTATATAGATTATAAGATAAAAAAGCGTTCTCCTGCCGTTTATTAAATATTACCGAAACGTGTGCGTGAATTTAAGTGGGAATAATTAATATTAAGATACATATTAGTATTCTAATACGTGCAGTTGCACATTTCTGGTTGGATCTTCAGGATCCTTTCTTCGTTTTGTACGAGTGTCTTGTTAGGCACTGTCATAATGCAAGTATTTATTTAAGAAGGAACAATTAATAATAAAGTACATATTGATAATTTAGTAATCAGGATTCATACGTGCAGTTGCACGTTCCAATTTCGTTTCTAAAAAACATGTGATGGATTATTTCACATGTATCAGCATTTTGTTAGGTTTTTGATCTCTTCATCGGTCAGAGTTCGTGCGTGCAGTTGCACATTTCAATTTCGTTTTTAGAAAACATGTGTATCATCTCACATGTATTGACATTTTGTTAGGTTCTTCATCTCTTCATTGGGCAGTTCTTTTAAGAACTCGACCTTTGTAGTTCGTTTCTAACTTTTCGATAGCTTCTCCCTTAGATAGGTATTCGATTTCCTCGCCAAAGGAAGGGTGGTTGGGGCGAGGCTAGGGTGGGTCTCCATTCGCAGCAACCTCCACGCGGTTAGACCCGGGTCATATTATTTACTATGTAATTAATATAATTATTAATTACATAGCAAATAATGTGAGCTAATGGCTGCGATCTTCCTCGTACAGTTCCACATGTACCTTCTTCGTCCTGGTGTGCGGTCTAATAACACTGATTTCGAGTCGCAAATACGTTTTTGCCTAGTTAGTTTTTAAATAAATAATATATTACAATTTAAAATAAAAAATAGACGTTTTGCGGTGTATTTATCAATGAGATCGTTACGTATTTTAATAATTTCGAAATCTTTAAATAATCTCAATCGATTGGTTATTCCAATGAAATTAATCGATTGATGCCCAATTCTGGACCGTACAGCTTTCATTCCGTTAAAAAATAATAAAATTTATGTAATTTTATTTTCTGGCCGAAAAAATACATTAGGTGAAAAACTAAGCGTGATAAGTAATTTGTGAGGGCTTTGTACCTACCGAGTAACGCGTAAGAAATTTCAATAAAAAACATGAAGAGACTATCATTTTGACGCATTAAATGAATTTCACTATTATTATAAAAGCAATTACTTGAGCTTGTAGATCTTTTAAAAATTTATCGAACGTTCTTTTAATATTTTGCATCTGGAGGCAATGCAACAGTTCATAGGGAATTTTTCCCCGCTATCTGGTAAAGTAGATAAGTTCATGGTGCACGTGCTTCGGTATTTGTAATATTATAACCTCAGAGACGTATGTTTCCCGCCAAATATTGTTAAAAATAATATATCTGTAAATTCCAACCAGAAAACATGACTGAAGAAGCGGCGGAAAGTGAACTTGTGTTACGGCCAATGAATTGTGAATTGAATCAACTTTCTATGCCCGATGGATCGGCAATGTTCATGCAAGGTAGATTAATTGCAACTGTTAATATTATTATTTGTTAAAAACATACGTATTGTAGGTGATACTGCAGTCGTCGCAGGTGTCTATGGGCCGATAGAAGCAAAGCCACAAAAAATGATTTACAACAAAGCATTTGTTGATGTGTCGTATGTTCCCATAAAAGGACTGGCTAGTAAGTTGAACGAACCAAATAACTAGACTTTAATTTTTGAACGATACCATTATAGAAACTTTTGATTGACTCTGTAAGAGGTGGATGACAGGATGACAGAACTATACATAAAAGAAACATGCGAGGCTGCAATAATTACTACATTTCATCCAGCAACAGCCATATGCATCAGTATACAAGAGCTGGATGATTCCGGTGGGGTATGGTTTGCTTTTATGTACCAAAACACCAGACTGAGTTTTAGATTGACAAATACAAATTAACATTTCAGTTACTAGCCTGCACAATCAATGCTGCCTGCCTATCGCTTATTAATGCTGCAGTTCCCATGAAATTTACTGTTGCAGCAGTGAGCTGTATGATAGAAGACGATACTGGTAATATTATACTAGATCCTGATAATGTTCAGTTACAGGTATGTAAACATAAATCTACGTAATATTTAACGACAAGGATGTTCCTAATTTATTACATATTTCATTCAGGATGCTAGAGCAGAATTCACATATGGGTTTGACAGCATGAAGAAAAATATTGTATGTTGTTATACTGCAGGTCGCTTCACGGAAACTGAAGTTTTAGAAACGATGAATAAGTGTAAAGAAGCTAGCCAATATGTGTTTGATTTTTATCGAAATCTTGTAAAAAAATACGCGAATGTAATATAGTATTTCTAATGTTCAATACATGTTATACTTCTTTCTACTTCTTTCAAGATTATTGCTGCAGATTGCGTTAGAGTAAGTATAAAATGTGGAAGCGATACTTGGGGATTATTATTTACTATGTGTATTAATTGTATCGCTCGTAATAATATAACACAATTATTAATTACATAGTAAATGATATGAGCCAATGGCTGTGATCTTCTTCCTGTAGTTTCATATACGTTCTTTAGAAACTATTCCATTTCTCGTAACAATCGACAAAAATATTTCATTGTGAGCTAAATTTCCACAAAAATTCAAATACACTTGTCAGATACACAGATCGATTCAGGTTTGGATCACTTTCAAATAAGTAACTCTCGGCATACTTAGTTTTACTTCTCACCGTGCACGGCGTTGAATTCTTATTCCATACTAAATCAATAACGTTAAAATGGCAAGGAGGTTTTCTACAGTCTTTAGTGTCTTTGAATAAAAGGTTCCATTTTTTAAATATTAGTAATATTAATTCTTGCACGAAAGTCTCTCAGAATGGACATGAACGATCTACGGACCATTTTGCGATCGATAAGATGGATCTGTCATTTTTGCCAAAAATTCTTGTCTAAATTACAATGATCAAATAATAAGTAATTCAGTAGGATTGAAGTATGAGAAAACGTAAAAATATCCAATACTTATAACACAATAATGTCAATTACTTTAATCATCATGAATTAATTACATTTTTACTGTCGTTAAATTAACGTAACTTATAGTTTGAATTTCTTAAAAACAATGTTTACAGTTTGTATGTTAACAAGTCAATATTTATAATTAAAATTAAAATTTTAACTAGTAATCAATAAAAATCAGGCGCAACATATACAGCATTAATTGTAATAAAATATATACTATACATTGGTAATATAAATATTTGATCATATGATACATCACTTCATTGCAAAAGATTATTCAAATTCTGAACATGTAATATTTACATTGTAGGGCTGTATATGTTGCCGCACTTCCACATATTCTTGAACTATAGGATTTTCCTGTTCGTGGAAAGCGACATGTTTTAGGATATCTTTCCTTTTCATAAATACTTCGTCGCACTGTTCGCAACGCATCGTTTTTACTTTATGCATTTTAGTATGCTTCAACATATCATTCTTTTGTGAAAACATTTTGCCACATGTATCGCAAGAAAATGGTTTCTCTCCTGTGTGAATTCTTTCGTGAACTCTTAATGCCCCTTTACGCGTGAAACTTTTATCACAGTATGTACATCTATGAGGTTTAATGCCAGAATGGATTTTCATATGTTGATTAAGATTACTGGAGCATTTATATTCCATGTTACATATTTTACAGATGTAGGGGCGTTCTCCAGTGTGTATTCTTTCGTGTATAAGACGCGACTCTTTGGACACGAATGCTCCACCACAGTATTGACACATGTGTGGTCTTTCTTTAGAATGTATAGACTTGTTATGATATATCAAGGAATTCTTATTGGCTAACTGTTTCCCACAAATATTACATTTAACGTTCATTTTCTCTCCTTTATGTATGCGCTCGTGATTCAATAAAACTACCCGCGTCGAAAATATCCGGCTACAGACTTCACATTGCCATACTGTTTTATCGGTACACTTTTTCCTTATGCTTTCTATGATGTCTTCTTCCGTATGTTTTTTCCTATGTAACTTCAGTTCACTCATTGACTTACATCTGTATGCACAAACCTAAGAATACAAAAATAAAAGTTCGCTCAGAGCTTTGACTAACACTAGCTCAGTGGTATAATTAACAATTCAGTGTTCTATATATTAAAATATGTAATGAAGTTCTGTTAGGGTATAGCTAAAAAAATAATCGGAAATTAATTGATATTCAATTTGGGGGCCCGCGTGATTCGTATGCGGTGCTCATTTTTAGATAAGCCATTGTACTGGATTATTTTTGACATTGAATACCTACACTGCACGTGTATATGCCATCTCCATTATCATGCCGCTTAAGATGCGTATTCATATTTCCTTTACGATTAAACGCTGCTCCACAAATAGGACAAATGTGTTTATTTACACCATGAGACAGTTTATGTTGCCTTAGTTGTATTCTTTTGTAAAAAGCTTTTCCACATTTTTCACAAGAGTAAGGTTTATTTCCATTGTGTTGGTTCATGTGCTCTCCCAAATGAAATCTGCATTATATACGTAATACACATTGAATAATAAACAACCGATAATTCATTTTGAAAACAGTTTATGAAATAGTATTTAGAAGTTCATAAATGCTACCTAGATCTAAATGCATTTCCACAAATTTCACAAACATGTCGTTTTTTTCTTGTGTCATCTAAATGAGTTCTTTTGTGACCTCTTAAATTATTAGAGTGTTTAAAACTCTTCCCGCATAAGTCGCATAGATAAGGTTTATCTATTCTGTGAGTGGCTTCGTGTACATCTAAACTAGACCATTTTTCGTAACTTTTATTACATTTAATACATTTAAATAATAGCTGGCCACCATGACATTTCTCAATATGATTTAACAAGTCTTTTTTTATACAATAAATTGATTCACAATGTCCACATTGTTTATTAGTTTCAACTGTTGCAGCAGAGTTTATAGCAAGTGAATGTTCAGAGATATTCTGCTGTTCTTCGGTTATACTTAGCTTATCTGGAATTTGGCATTGTTTTTCTTGATAATGTTCACAATGTGAAAATTCATGTTCAGCAAAAAGTTTCTCATCATTAAAACTTTTGTCACAAATGTTACAAGTCTTTGTAACAAAGTGAAAAGTCATTTCTTCTTCATTGTTAATATCACTAATCTCAGTAATCTCTTTTTGTTTTTGTATTATTATTTCTTCTCCATCGCATAACATTTTGTGATTTTCAAAAATTTCTTGTGTTTTAAACGAATCTTTACAATGAAAACATGCAATTTTATTAGTATTATTTGTTCCATCATTGTTTGGATTATTTGTTGTTTTATTTATGGAATTGTCTTCTTTATTTTCTTTGTTGTATGATTCAATGAAGTTATTTAATTCAGATTGCATTTCCTTCCTTACATTGTTTGCAAAGTTAGTTTTTTGTGTATCAATATTTTCTAAGTAATTTAATTTTGTTGTAATATCTTGATTCATTACAATTTCATCAACTTTATCAGAAGATAATTCAATAGAGGTAGTCTGATTTTCATCATTTGAACAAATTTCTTTAGCTATATCCAGTGAACATGCCTTCACTATTGCATTATATTTATTGTCATAGTTCATCTATAAAACAGTATAAAAATATTTACTTTTGATATTATTAGAGCTTATTTGATATTATTATGTTAATAATATAATTTAAAATGCACTTACTTCTTCATTAATATTTAAAAATCTTTTCAACTTCATATCTGTTTTTAAACAAGTTACAACAAGTGAATGTGCAATTTCCAGTTTATTATAGCAATTCATACATAATTTTTGTGGCATCAAATCTTCCACATCAACAACTATTGGTAGATGGAAACTTATTTTATCTTTTAACTTTAATTCTATGCCCTTCTCTGTAAATATTTCTATACCATCTAATGATGGCTCACCACAAATTCTACACAAATTTGGAAATCTAATACTGATATCTCTATATTGGTTTATCTCAGTATCCACATCACAATATGACAATACAACATTGTTTGTCACTTCTGTTTTTTCATCTCTATCCAAGATATTTCTTAAATCTTTCTTTGTTAGAACATCTGATTCAAATAATGTAGGCACAGCATGTTGGTCTATTATAACAGGATCACTTTTACTTATGTAATAATGATCCTCTATGTGATGAGAACATATATAACAATTTAAATGCAACTCTTCGTTCGATTTCATCAAGAGGTCTGTTCTGCCACAATGATGTGCCCATATTTTGGAGCTGTAACAATGTAATAATTTATAATTTAGATAAACATATTTTGCCTTTATCTACGGCATAACATTTCACATAGAAGAAAGAACTGAAGACAATTGTTGATATCTTACATAATAGTTCCAAGGGATTTTTTTAAATTGTAGATTACAAATAAAGGTGTCAACGTTTAGTGTGAAAATAAGGTAGTATTCTTAAACGATGCAACCCATATATTTCTATGATACTTACGTATCATCGTTAGGAAAATTAATGAAAATGACATGTGTCGAGTCTTCATTTTCCGAAGAGTATTTGCAATTTTTTGCAGCACAAACTACCCTCATTTTACGAAAACCAGTTCATTGACAAAAATATGTTTAATTTTTAACAGGTGCTATTTTCGTCAACAGCCATTCAATTCCTCTGCTCTATAGTCAGTGTTATCAGACGGTAGACTGATGCACAGAGGAAACTGTTCCTCCTTTTAACGTAACATTAATGCATAGTCACGTGTACGTGAGCTCCGGCACTTCGGAGAACGTCGGAAATTCGAGAAAGAAGGGGAATGCGAGCTTTTCCTTCTTGCTCTTGAAACAACTGAAATCCGACTTGCATCAACCTGCATAGGAGTTTGAGTATCAACGGAAGCGACGTTAGTTGATATTACTAACAATTTTACCCGATATTTAAAGATTTTTATTTCTCAGCCATTAGTTCGGTGTTATCCATGGAGAACTTTTCATCGTGGGTAACACCGATTACCAGGTCTCATCGCGAGGAGATTGTAGTGACCGAAGACCCAAGGAAGATGGATGGAATTCAAGTTCCATCGATTTCCCTTTCACATTCTTGGATTATTAAACTAAGGAATCAAAGTTCCTTCGATCTCCTCGTTTAGTTCTACCAAGCAATTATTTTATCGCAGAAAACGAGGGAAAATTGCAGCAAAAGTGCAGCAGATCTCTAACTTAGGATGTTTGACAAAGAGAGAGTACCTGAGACAAGGTCGACTTCCGCTGGAAGCTACGTATTTCCGCAGGAAGTATCATTTTCCGCGAATCAAATTACCAGTAGAACGCAACTGGAACAGGCTATATCTCCTAAACGGTTGGAAATAGAAAAATATGTTATAAGTCAAAGTTAAATGGTATCAGACGATGCGTAATATGCAACTAATTATATGCATTTTTGTGCATTGGTGCATCAGAAAAATGCAACTGCACCTCCTTTTTAAATGAAAACCTACACTTTTTACTGCACCAGCCGATGTGGTTTTTTATGCTCTACATAAAAGTACTAACATACTTATGCCCTAAACTTATTCGTTAGGAAGTTATCGAAGATTAAAGTTCTCCGAATCCATTGCAATGTTTCTGTTGCTTTACAGTGTTTTGAAATTATGGCATTTACGAATAGTGAAGCAGTTGATATGTTCATTTTCTTACGCGTTCATATTTTTACGATTATCTCAAAACATATCGAGGAAAATTGTTATTAATTAATTTCTTGCAACTGTTAATTCTACTGTTTTGTTTGTGTTATAAAAATAGGAACTTTTCTTATTGAAAAACGCCTAGCGTGCACGATACTAGGCAAAGAGTGGACTCTCATTTTAATTGATTAATTTTCAATCTTAAAGTATTTTGATTTTGAAAAACCGAGTAACATTCCAATTTCTCCTTGTTAGAACCGAGTTTCCAATAGCGAAAATCGCAGCTGCTTACCTGTTTTCAATTACCAAACATTTATTTCTGAATTAACCCTTTACGAGTGAGACCATTTTGCACATTATTCTAAAACATTTGTGGTGTTCGTTTTCAATGCGATTTAAGTAAGCATGTAATGTACAAGATTTCATTTAATTTTTTCTTTTCTAAAGAAGATAGAAAAAAAAGTTTATTTAATTGTTTTACATAAAATTTAATTCTTTCTAAGATTTATATGAAACATTTAAAAGATTTTTTTATAAATTACGCCTATGTATCGGAACAACTGTAAAGCAAGAGGTAAATCATTACTATCCATGGGCTGATTCTAGTCAAAGTCTAATCGGACTTTGAAATGAGAACATAATACTTAAATGTAAAGTTTCATTTAAATTCATTCAGCCTTTTATACTCAATCGTGTTAATAATATACATACGTACGCTCGTACATGGGAATAATAAAAAAAGATTTCTTTTTTCTCAATAATTAAAATATGATCAGAGGGTCTTAAAACGTGTATTTCCGTGAAATAAATTTTACAAAATTTTTCTTTCATTGTGGGTACTTTGCTTATGTGCGCCTACATAGGTCGGAAAGTAAAAATGCCTGGGCAGTCGAGAATCTTGGCTCGAGATTCCAAATCCTATGCCATTAACAGAAGGTCGGATTTTAGTTGTTTAAGGGGCCATTCTACCTTATAGGCACGAAAAATACATGTTTCTTTGCGATTTTTTTTTTGCGGGCTATTAAAGAGCGATTAATTCCGTGTTTTGTAGATACATTTATTATATATTTAGCTATATTCACGAATTTTTGCAACGCATAATATCTATTGATTACACTATTTTTATTGATCAACAAACAACAGTTTTTAGTATGTGATATCTTGCGAACAAGTTATCCGAAATCCAAAAACCAACGATATTCTTAATGCGGATGAGTGTGGTTATAGCACGAACTAGGATCTTTTAAAAAAAAACAAAAAATGGCAAAATGGCAGCTATTTTACGAAAAAATACTGAATATTTTCATATATTCGGTTGCTTTTTTGTTAATAAAAGAAAAAGTATCGCATATATCGCAATTATCCTAGTTCATGCTATAGGGAGACCAGTTCTAAAGATACTGTATAAATTTCATGTTGATATCTCGAATAGTTTTTTCGTTATTACATACGCAGTGCCGAAAAATTCAGTTTCGAGAAAAACAGCTTTGAAATTTCAATTCCAGTTGTTATACCTGCGCGCGGTACATTTCAGCAGGCCATAACTTCGTTAGTTTGTCAAATTTCAATTTAATATTTGGTAGATATATTTTCGAGGCTACATACTAAAAGAAAATACAAAAAAAAATTCAATTTTTTTAATTCCACAAAGTAGAAAGGCAACTTTTTACGCAAGTTTTACGTCCAGTTATACCTGCGTGTGGTACATTTCAGCAGGCTACAACTTCGTTAGTTTGTCAAATTTCAATTTAATATTTGGTAGATATATTTTCGAGGCTACATACTAAAAGAAAACGCAAACGAAAAAAATTCGATTTTCTAAATCCCACGAGGTAGAAAGGCCCCTTAAGATCGAGAAGGCAGATGCGAGAAAGAGCAAATCGCGAAAGAGGGCATGCGTTAGTTTGCCTTTGTCAACTTTCCGAAACTCTACGAGCTCTACGTATGTACTTACGCGTGATCTGGCATAGTGTGAAAGAGTGCCTTCGGTGCACTTCTGGCATCTTTGGACTGCCGAATGGCAAAAGCCGACCCAGTGGGGACGCGGCTTTACACAACCATGGACGATGTACCTACTATAGTAGGGGACACGATCGTAGTCACCAAAAGTTACGATCGAGAGTACTTCGGTTTCAGTAAATTGATTGTGACCACCAAGAATATAAAACTGACCGCGACGCGTTTCGCGGACTTAATTTCGAATTGCTGTTAGGCTGTAGTGATCGATCCGAAACATAAAGCGTCGTTACTTCGTCGAATTCGACTATAAATTGTTACCGTTTAGTCGTTAAAATATCGTTTCGAGGCAGGAAACGTTTGAAATTTGTCAGTGAATTTACACGCGTAGAAATGGAATCGCAATTTCTGTTGTTCTGCATACTATTTAGCAGCGTATCCTCTGTACAAGACACCTCGCCGCTGATCGATTGTTTAACGGCCTGTTTAGACGTGAGTACAAGAATACGCTAATAGACATAAATTTGCAATGCGAACATTCCATATGGCTGAAACTCGTTTAAGTAAATAGAAACGCGTTACCGAACGTACGTCCGAAAACTGTCACAAAATAAAATTTCATTCGCCGAGTCGTGAAGCAGCGTTCGATGTGCCTTTTAAAATGGTATTATAAAAACGAAATTCGAAAATTCACGTCGCGTACTGCGTTATCCGGGATACCTCCGATTCTTATATCGTGCTGTACGAAAGATGTTTGTACACGTATAGAGTTAAAATATTAACGAAACGTTATGTTGAAGAATTCCTGTTTGTAACTTAATAGTAACTTGCACGAAAACGACGGCGTATTTCCTTGTCCTTCGGTTTTTCTCAGAATAATTGGAAGATCCATGATGTGTGGAACGCATTACAAATTGTAGCAACGTACGATCAGATTTTCTTGCTTTCGAATACGTTTAACATAAATAAATGTATCAAAATATATGTATGAGATTTCCATAACAATCGCAGCTAGGCATTCCTCGAAGGCAATAAAGAGCGATGAAATCTTCGAATTTCGTTTCCCGCAGTTATTTTAACTAAACGAAGTAAAAGTGATGTGGGTATATTGAAAAGTAACCCTGATATAGTTAGTTCGTCGATTTTGATATCGTAAGTGATTTACTGCTTTCTACCCATCCCATGAGATCTATAAATAAACGAATATATTACCATACTCTTACTTCGACATGTATACAAGGTGTTGTAAGAATTTTTTTTCAATTTTACACGCGTTTTACATCTTCGTATCGCAGCATCGAGTATTCTTTTAAACATCGCTGGCCTTATTGGAATTATTTACACTGTATTTGTCACAACAAAACACTATTGCTTTTTTTAATATTATAAAGCACTAGTAAATTATATGTGTGTATTAATAACAGGAGATTTTCACAGATCTCATAGAAAATCAGTTTTGTTCCATCGCTACTTAAATAATAGCAAAGTTTTCGAAAAATGAAAGAAATAGTACGATCTTATTCTTTGCAATACATTTCAGAAAGGAGCCGAGTATGGCTTTTTTGTTGCTTGCAAAATAAAATTAATTTCAAATTGTTCTTATTTATATGTGGATCTGTAGCTTCTACGGACAGATGTATCGTGACAGTCTTTTCAGACCTCGAAACTGGCAGGGCAGATACAGAAGTAAAAGGACCCCGCCCAGATCTTATGGAAAATGGCCCCCGGTTAAATTAGCTGAACTTTTGCTATGATGTAGTTCATGATGTCTTGAAAAGTTCCAATGGGCCCAAGCTCGTAAATTGAACAGTTTCCGAGATACGGGGGATCAAAAGTCAATAATAGTACGCCTCATTCTAGACTACCACGTTTGAGCATATTTCAATGTAAAAAGCACTGTCATGCCCCTGTGGGCCCTTAAATATTATCCCTTGATCCTCTGACCCTCTGGCTCCCCTTCAGGAGTCAAAATAAAGAAACGCCAAAGAGGTAAAAAATGGTTCTCTTTTTCATTGAACAAACATGAAGCACCGTCGACATTAGCATTACCCAGTGTGCACCACGAGGAAGTTGCTCGATCGGATTTTGCATACCATGTGGCCCCGAAGAGGGCCATTTTTATAGTTCTATTTGTACATAACAATCTTGATGCCCTCTATTAGCGCATATTGACACTTCGTTGGTAGATAACAGCCTTAGAAGACTAAAAGTTTATTCACATCAAGTTCTTATTTCTCACATTCCCAAAAAATGAACTGGAACTAGAAGAGGAAGTAATAAATGGTTACCACTGCATCTGTCAATCCGGTGCCAAAACATTGGGCACATGCGCACATATTGCAAGTGTTTTAAGGTTTTTAGGATTTGTCATCAAAGAAATGTCAAATATTCGGATGGTAATCTTCTAAATACGACCAGAGATGCCGCTAATAGAGACCATCAAGACAATATGAATGTCGAGATTCTTATGGTCGAATACAGAGAACTATAAAAACGGTTCTCTTCGGGGCCACATGGTATGCAAAATCCGATCGAGCAACTTCCTCGTGGTGCACACTGGGTAATGCTAATGTCGACGGTGCTTCATGTTTGTTCAATGAAAAAGAGAACCATTTTTTTACCTCTTTGGCGTTTCTTTATTTTGACTCCTGAAGGGGAGCCAGAGGGTCAGAGGATCAAGGGATAATATTTAAGGGCCCACAGGGTCACAACACTCAAATATGCTCAAACGTGGTAATCTAGAATAAGACGCGCTATTATTGACTTTTGATCCCCCGTATCTCGAAAACTGTTCAATTTACGTGCTTGGAACTTATCAACAAGACATCATGAACTACATCGTATCAAAAGTTCAGCTAATTTAACCAGGGGCTATTTTCCATAAGATCTGTGCGGGGTCCTTTCAGAATTTGATTTAAATTCTAAATGGCCACGATAAGCTGTGCTGTATACGGGTTGCATAATCCTGTCTTTGACTTTCATAAGGAATTTTGAAATTGTTCTCGGTAGTCTTCTTCCGAAAGTCTTTGTATATTTGCAATTATTTTTCATACAAATAACAGTTATTGTTACTTGAATTTCTCCTTCATGGTATTAGCAATGTCTTCCGGAAGAGTTACAAGCCAAGCGTTGTGCAATTTGAAATTCAGTAACTTCTTTCAAATCGCGTACAAAAAGAACAGATTTTCACAGCAGATATAAATGGTAAATGTGATGTACAATAATGTTGTATATGATTTTTTCAGGAAGTGTGCCAAGATGCCTGCAACGATTACGTACACGAAATCGGTCGTAGGTTTCAATTTTTCACTAAATTAACAAAGTTTCGCGGAAATTAACATCGTTCTTTTGTACGAAGGAAACTATTAAACTGCGAAAGAAAAACTTAATCTAAAGAATTTCGTTTTTACGCGTGCAATTGAATACGTAAAACTTGCCTAACGTGTCTATCCATTCCTCTTTATTTCTACTTATTTTGGAGATCTTAGACGATGATCATAGTATGGTATTCTCTGTTTTCCGTGGCTGTGAGGGTTTTCTAATGAGTTAGAACCAGTCGAAACAAATATAATAAGAACGTGTCGATATCGATGCTTACAAATATAATTGCGCGGTACTTACTCATTTAGTCGTCTCTACTGTCATAGAAATGTCGAGGAATTTTCATAAAAAAACTTTCGTTAACAGTTTATTCACAGGTGGATGAAGATACCATAGCTAATACGAGTCTTCATTGTAGTAGTGACAATTTTATGATAATCAAGTTCAATTCTGGAAAGTATATCATCGAACAGAGAACTTCTAAATATCCTTGGAACTTTCCGAAAGTGGTGAATAATATTTAATTTTTTATTACGACGTTCGTGAATTATCTTCTGAGACTTTATTTCTCGATTGTCAATAGCAAATAACTTTAGTGTATAGAATCGTACAGTGGATATATTTTTCAGAGAAATGGTGATGTAGCAACATTTACAAATTTAAGCGTAGGTACCGATTACCAATTTCGGTTCTATAAAATAACGAAGGATGGAATTTCGCATCCGGAAACATCGAGCTCGTTTTCGACGTACCCAGGTGATCCACTTATTCCATTTTTTATATCATTTTTAAGCTGTCTATCTCTAAGTATATTCTATACACTTTTTTCAGTCGATTACGTGCCGCTACCCGTGAAAAATATATCATTGTTTAAAGTAGAGGCAGAGACGGAAAATAAGTGTTCTCTACGTACAGATTTTACATTCGAACCAGCAGAAGGTAATAACAGCGCGTTTGCTAATAACAAGATAGATCGCGTATGCATTTTTATGCATTTTGAATTATACTTTTCTCTAAAAAAATTAGACATGTCTTTCTTTTCTTCCATCGCCAAAGCTTATGTGACAATTTCAGATCGCAGTTGCAATTACAACATGTTAGTTTGGTCTGGAGAACACGATTTGGTCGACTATGAGTTGAAAATGGTAATACATAATACTTATCATTAGTGTAATTTTATTTCAACAAATAGAGCATTTAAAAAAAATTGCCTTATGACAACTCTGCTAGAAATAGTTTAGGTCTAGTTGTGAGAATGTTAATCGAATCACACTGGTTGGTTCGCAGATTACGGACTTTCGGTTCGAAGTAAAGCAATTATCGTTTAGTCGAACAATCAGAATAACGATGTTTTCGGTTAACAGTGATAATACTAAAATGAGTACTGACAGATCAATGACCATGTACACGCCGACTTGTTTAAACTATTATAACAACGACTTAACCATTTGCAGTGAGTATGTAAATAATTATTATTTCGTTGTGAAAATGTTTTACCGTCGATCGTGTATTTAATTAATTAAGTCGAACGATGGAATTACTAATTGGTAAGAACGTAATATTTTTGTTAAAATTTGTAAACGTGTTTAGCTACTTTAATACGAGTTTGTATGCATTTTAGGCCCGGAAGATGTAAAAGGATTGCAAGCGACGCACGCTTACCGTTATGGAGAGTTGTACGATCTTAACGTTACTTGGGATAAGCCTGAAAAGAATCCGGACAATTACACGATACACGTCGATTTAGGAACGCAAAATGAACCTCTAATCGAAGTCATACCTGGCGTGAGTAGAATCGTTTAATTCTGATATGCTTACAATTGCGTTTGACCAAACTTTGCCAATATACTAGCAACCGTTATAGTTCACTGATCGTGGAGTTTTGATTATAACAAACGGATGGTTGTATTTTTTACAGTATAAAACCACGACATCCTTCTTAAGGGTAAAATTAGGATTCCAGTATGAAGTAAGCATTGTTGCTGATTCGTTGGGAGGAACAAGCTATCCATCAACGATCATCAATAATCTCAGCGATGAACACACAGGTTCATGACTTTTGACATAACATTTTTAGTATTTTAGTAAAATAATACAAACACTATGTATAAATAAAAACGTTTCTTAAAAACTATCTGAACTTTCTAAGGAAATATTTCATAGTGTAGTGTAACAGCTGGTGAAAAGGTGAATGTAGTATGCATAATTACAATTGCGATCTATAGTACGACAATAATAGTAATTGTATTTCGAATAATAATTCAACGCTATTTTGATTTCAGCTATAAGCACTTTCTATCCTGTGCTTATCGTCGGGGTAATTATGTTGTTCATAATTATGGTGCTAGTTGGGACGATTTATTTGCAATGCTATAAACAAAGAAAGAGGCACTTTTCGATAGAAAGCAGGCCGTTCAAAGTGAGTGATAATTAAAAAATTAGAAAATAGAATTTAAAAGAAAGCAATAATTTTCACGAAAATAAAAATATTTTTAAAATATTTGTCCAGGGTCTCAACCCGAAGGATTTACCCGAAGGAACTATTACGAAATTGCTGGACAAAGATTACACGACTGACATTAACAATTATCCGTTTATACACGACAAATTCGAATTGCGTTCAAAATTGTTAAAACTCTATGGTGTTCTTGGTAGCGGAGCTTATGGAATTGTGAAACTAGGCTCCCTGCGTGATGAATTTGGAAACGTCAACAACGTGGCGGTGAAAATGCTCAAAGGTGAAATGAACAGAATGATCTGTATTGTAGTATAACACTAGGTGTTATGGTACTATTATGTATAATACTAGGTTTCAAAAGTAGTCCTAGAAAACCAATGTTCTTTGAACTGATGATTATTTTATTCCATAAATTTTGTATAATACCGTTACTTTATTGTACTTTGAAAATTGTGTATTAAAGAGTAAACTGAATCTTACATCATAGACAACCAAAGCGCGGAAGATGAACAAAATTTCCATAAAGAAATAATGATCATGAAAATTGCCGGTCAACATCCAAATATAGTATCGTTGATCGGCTGTTGTGTTTTGTATAACAAACCAGTGCTGGTAGTGGAATATTGTTGCAAAGGAGATCTACAAACCTATTTAAGGACAGTGAGTAGTGCAATGTTATGTTACGTTTGCAAATATTTTAACATAATTATCTTTAATACACAGTGTTCGGCCACCCCTGGGAAAAATTTTAATGGGAGATTCTAGGAGCCAAAATAAGACGAAAATTAAGAATACCAATTTGTTGATGGAGGCTTTGTTAAAAAGTTATTAACGTTTAAAGTTCTGCCTGTAGAACGGCAATCTGCGAACATTTGCGCGCGCGTGATAATGGCGGAACTTTAAATGTTAATAACTTCTTAACGAAGCCTCCATCAACAAATTGGTATTCTCGATTTTCGTCTTATTTTGGCCTCTAGAATCTTCCATTCAAATTTTTCCCAGGAGTGGCCGAACACCCTGTATAATGTAAATCAAAGTTGAGTAAAAATATCGTTAATACATTTCTATTAGATGTAATGTCTTATTTTCATATTAATTTAAAATAGTGAGGCGAATCGATATGTACCTATTGCAATAATAAGAATATTGTTTTCTTAATCAGTTCTACGAGATCATTATAAGATATCTTTTAAGTGTAATTTTAATGAATTTTCAGATCTGGCAAACTATGGTAAACGTTGCCATTAATCATAGAGAACGGTTCAAACGTGACGCAGATTCATTTATTATCGGTAACAGTGAACATTATACGAGTAAATCGGATATTTATCATTTGGCAATCAATAAATTACTTAATATGATAAACTAAGAAACATCTGTTTAAATACACATTTATCTTTTTTTTTTGTGTCAACTAGGTGGAAAAGAACGAAATAATCAAAGCATTAATGTAATCGCGAATCGTTTATATGATGTTCAAGAAGGTAATTAACATTTATACAATGTGTCTCGCGAACTTTGTCCACTTAAATATCTTGATTATTTCCGACAACGCGAGAAAATGTTACTTGCAGAAGTTACATGGTTTAAGAAAGTACATAGTATGGTATAAATAGTCTTTCAGCAAGTGAAGGCGTAGAATACCATTTATACCATATCTCTCGAACTCTACAACTTCTGTAAGTAACATTTTCTCGCATTGTTCAAAATAATCAAGATATTTAAGTGGATAGAGTTTGTGAGACACACTGTACATGAATCTTCCAATTATAAAACCAGCTAATTTCTCTTCAGTAAATTTTTTAATTCTAGTTTATTAAAAAACTTTTATTTCTAAATTTTAAAGTTACGTGTAAAGAGCTTATGCACCTGCCATGAGCAGTTTCCTCAAAAACCAACGAAGATACCGGCTTAACTTTTTTCTTAATTAAATGGCCCAAGGGCTGATCTTTTCACGCGCAATAAATTCTTTTGGAGCAACTTTAAATAATAAAAAGAATACTAATATTTCAATCCATCGTTTATTCTTGTAATCATGCTTTTTGGTCTGTTATAGATGTAGCAGAATGTACGGAAACTGTTACAGCAAACGACTTATTAAACTTTACAAGACAAATCACTATAGGAATGGTAAAATATATATTCTTTTACATCTAGCTTATTAACTGTCGAAATGTTCTTGAAGTTACTTTCTTAGCAGCTAAAACACTGAAAAATATGATCATGAAAAAAATGAATTAAAAATTTTTCCCGATGTTAATTATTGTATATTCGTGGGCTTAATTTATTAAAATCGGAAATTTTAAAAAATTGTAGGGGTTTTTTTTTTTGTTTCTGGTTGTCAGGAATTCCTGTTTTCAAATCGAATAATTCATCGTGATTTGGCAGCACGTAACATATTAGTGTGTGAGGACGGAGTTGTAAAAATTTCAGACTTTGGCCTCAGCCGTGATGTTTATCAAGAAAATTTGTACAGAAAAGAAGGTCGCGGCAAGTTACCTCTGCGGTGGATGGCAATCGAAGCATTAACACATCAACTTTACTCAACTTATAGTGACGTGTAAATTATTTTTATAGACTTTGTTGAATTAAAACCGTAGAATATTTTATTCTTTATTTCGATTGAAATTTCTTCTGAGAAATCATAATATATAAATTAGAGTTACATTAACAACTTGAATGGGCAATTGTTTGGACTGCAGATGGATCTTTTTTTTTTTTGTAATATATTCACTTTTTTTTCCAGGTGGTCTTTCGGTATTTTATTGTGGGAAATTGTAACCATGGGTGCTGTTCCATACCCTGGTGTTTCAAATAACGCAATCTTGGGCCTTTTGAAATCCGGTTATAGGATGGAACGGCCGCCAAGTTGTGGCGTAGAGTTGTGAGTTAAATGCAAATTTAAATTTATACAATGTGTACAGGGTGTTCGGCCACCCCTGGGAAAAATTGTAATAGGAGATTCTAGAGGCCAAAATAGGACGAAAATCAAGAATACCAATTTGCTGATGGAGGCTTCGTTAAAAAGTTATTAACGTTTGAAGTTCCGCCTGTATTGAATTTTTTTTCTCGAAAGTGGGTAGGATTTCGGGAGTATGTCTATTGACCAAAAATGATTGCAATTGACCCCCGAAAGCAAAAATAATTTTTTCAGAATCATTTGAAACGTTTTAATAACTTTTTAACGAAGCCTTAGTCAAGAAATTGATATTCTCGATTTTCGTCTTATTTTGGCCTCCAGAATCTCCCATTAAAATTTTTCCCAAGGGTGGCCGAACATCCTGTATACAAATAGGAGAGAAATCACAAGAATGATTTGTTAAATATACTTCAACTTTGTTTTAAAATTTAAAAATAAAAGACTTCTTAACACGTTGACTGTTAGCGAGTCCTGCGCGTCCTGGTAACCGTTATAATAATTTATTCTTTTCTCAAATTATCTGAAAATATCTCTAAGAGAGTTATTAACATGGCAGTGAACGTGTTAAAAGATATTCGATCTGACATAACAATACTTTTACAGATATAACATTATGTTGTCTTGCTGGACCGCACGGCCTCAGAGTAGACCTACGTTAACTCAATTAAAACAAAGCGTGGATAAATTACTTTCCAATTATTCAGATAAGTACCTGAACATCCATGAAATTATTCACGACGATCAATATCAGAGTCGTGTGTTTGAAATCTAATGTTCATAGGTACACAGGGACGTCAATATAAATACGACCATCGTACCATGTGCAAAATCGTTTATTTTCTAATTATACGTACAATAATCTGTGGTATAACTTCTTTCATATATATATGTGTGTATATACAATATCTTACTCTCGATCTTAAGAACTCAGGCGGAAATAAAAATAACTAAGGCTGTCTTGTATTTGTTCTCGATTACTTCATTGACAGTAACAATATTACACACAACACACCGGTACCATGCCGATTGTCTTTCTATTACTTCTCCATTCGATGACCGATCATTTTTCTTTTTTTTCTGATTAATTGCTCAACGTTTTCTTTATTCTCGAAGTAATTCGATCGACGAATCGAGCGCACGTGAACGAATAAAAATCATATTCACGCGAATTCCTGTGACCTAGGTCGGAAATTAAGGGGTCCTAAGAGGAACTCGGTTGTCCGTTTTCTTATTAGAATTGTAAATATAGAAATTTATATGGTGCGTTCAACAGACACGTACGTTTACCGTCACGAAAGGAACTGTCTATGTTCTTTCTTTAATGCGCCTGGACCGCTCGACTCCTCGATCCAGAGTAGCAAAAGTGTATTACAATTGATGGATGGCAAGTGCGTGTTTCGTATCCTAAGTTCTACGTATGTTCAACATCATTGAATCAATCGCTCCATTAAAATACTAAAAACTGATATGAGAAAGAGGAACTCTCTACCCATGGAATCTATTCCATTCGATAGATCCTCGTTCAATATCACCGAGAAGTTTTATCATTTTTTCGGTCTTAACCATTAATGAACAACAGAATACGCTTATAATACATAAACATTTTAAGAAACAAAAAAAAAAAAAGTAATAGAAAACATATACTGTACGGAAATAACGACTAAACATCACGTTTAATGTATACATTCGATTTTTCAGTTGCGATTACGTACATATGTTTTTACAATCGATTAATTCGTCAGCAGGCATCCAATATACACTCGTAAATTCTTAGTTTCCTTACAAAATTCGTTGGAAAAATAACTAGCATGAAATCACTATAAAAAAGCAACAGCAAATCGATTTTACATTATAAAATTTCGTATTTCTGAATGTATGAAAAAACAGAGTCTTTATATTTTTGTTTATATTAGACCTAAAAAGTGAAAGCATCTTGCAGTATCAAAAAATGCTATTAACACCTGAAAGTATATTATTAAGTGACGTGTACTATAATGCTTTTATGTAACGGCGATGGTAATAATATTTCGGTGACATATGGGGCTCAGAACATTTGAAATTTGGACCAAATAGGTACTGTTTTCATTTATAGGTATTTAAAATACATATAATACATTCTTTAAAAATCTTGCAAGGAGTACTAATCACACTTGAATACAGCAATAATGATAAATATTGCATACGTCATTCCTCTGTTTACCAAGAATGCGAGTTCCCGAAAACATGTTTCCTTTGCAATAAAACATTTCCTTTCCCGAAAACATGTATTTTCTACAATATTCTCTTCACAATTCATATGCTATCACAGAGAAAATTGTTACACTACGTATAAATTTTTGTATAATACGTATATATCGTATTTTTAATTTCAACAAGTTGCAAATGTTTCTTCAGGTTTTCAAAGGACCCATGTTTTTTTTCTTCACATTATTACTTTGATAGATGGATGAATCTAACCTCTTGTACGATATTAACGAATTCTCTGAACAACATAAATTCTGTTTTGCAATAAATATGAAAACTTGTGTTACAAGATTTGCTAAATACAAACTAAAATTTTTCTTTACAAAACTTTAGATTCGACGAGAAAAATTTATTTAATAATAGACTTTCATTGAATACTATCTTTTGCCACACGCTAACACCGCTGTAAAGAATGATATTACTTACGTAATTATATAATTTGCCTATACAGCATAATAAAGAGTATCATTATATATATCATAATAATTTTAATATAAATGTAAATTTAACAAAAACATTATTCGATTGATAAATTCCTTATTTTAAGGAGCCGAAAATCACAGGCAATGTAGTCTTTATATCGGTAGGATTTACCGATAGGAATTTAAGGATTAGCATTTTTACTGCCTCTCGTTTTTACTTGCAATGCTACCTATATCAGATACTATCATTCCTGTTAATTAAAGTATCTTCTTTGTCAACTGGTGGTGGGCCAGTTGTTAGAGTGCTACTTGGACCAGCCGTTAAATAACCAGCAGACACCGGTGTTCCAGCTATGTGATGCACAATTTGCGTTTAAATATTTTATATACAATAACACGTACGATATATTATATGCATATCTTACCAGTAAGATAACCAGAATTGTTGGTATTAGAAATGAACAGATCATGTCGCTGATCTTTGTATTCTGCCCACACACTTGACTTTTCCAGTATAGCATTTACTTTCTCCCCTAACAACAAACTTCTAGTCATAGCTTTCAAAGCTTTAACTATTTGAGCTTTGGTTGTCGCCGGATTTTCAATAATATCTAATCGTCCGTCCAATATATTCAATAGATAAGGTACCATTTCAGCATCCAAAGCCTAGATAATATAGTATTAGATAAATAAATTTCGCGGAGTAATCGCATTTCCGATTAATTTACAAAATCACAAAAAAGGATAATATGATAGCTCACCTGTTTTATAAGTCTATCTTCATTAGTCGAAAATAATCTATTTAACGTTTCGCACGCTATCGCTATCATATCACGCCTAGATTGCATAGCATGTTTCAATGGGCTTATACATTCGGTTTGACAAATTGACGATATACAAGTCTGAAAGAAGTGACACAGTTTGCATAGATTTTAGCAGATATTATCAGATGTTTGATATAAAGAATGTCGAACTTACTTCGCTCGTTGCTAATTGATGAAGTATTAATATTGCAGTTTTATATACAGATGGTTGATTATTTTGCATTGCCATTTGTCGACAAAGCCTAGGTATGTGGCCTAATGATGGAACTTGGTCTGCTAAACTTGGTTGTGCTTGAAGTAGACATACTAGTGCTTGAGTCGTTAATTCTAACATATCCGGCTATTTATGAGAACATTATAAAATAAGATTTTAATTTGAAAACGATTAAATACTACCGAAAAGTAGACATATTTCTTATTAGCGGCAGATTAAATACCAATCTTACACTTACATCAGTTTTTTCCTTGGACATGAATGTTAACGTTGTATCCAGAAGTTCGCTTAAAAATTCTTTAGGTTTTCTCAAAGCCCATGCAGGGCTGGCTATGAATAATCTGAGATATACACCGCCCACTACAGGTTCATTTGTTGCGATATCAATATTACTTTGAGTATCAGGTAACTTCAATATTGCATTCGGATTTCTCCTCTGCAATGCATAATATCTAGAAAAAATTATGCACTGCTGTAAAACCAATAGAATATGTGGAATAGCGTTGGTGATATTTTAAAATAACGTATACATACTCCTCTTTTAATTCAGTCACAATCCTAGAAGCTCTAGCTTTGGCATTGTCGTCCCAAATTAATTCAGGATTTTCATGTGTTGTTTCAAACATATGTACGCACTGTTTGGGAGCATCACGTATCGCTTCGCTAAATAATCTAGGTAAAAATTTAGATAAATCCAATTTCACTTTTGGCCCGGCTAACTTGTCAGATGACATTTTGCCAAGCATTTCTGCAGCAGCTTCGCGTATTTGAGTATTATTCGAATTGCAAAATAGATCGAGAACGTACACAACAGCTCCTATAAATGCACGTAACTTTTGTTGTAAGGCGATAATACAGAATAAGCACGCGATCGTGAAATTTATATGCACGTACCTTTAGACAGTGCATCTTTGACGATTTTTGTCGAGCTCATTAGAGCATATAATGTTTCTAGTATAAGAAGCTGACTCTCCTTTAAAGTATTTAAAGCCAATAACAAATGCACTATAACTTCATTTGCTGCAATATCATCCACACATTCTTGATTTTTTGTAACATTGCTAATTACTTCAAGCGCGCTTTTTTGAATTAACTTGAAATTGTTGCAACTTAAAAGTCCAAATAATAATCTAAAATGTCCTATACATTGTAATTCTATCCCCGGATTATTTTTAATCACATTTCTTAACGCTTCTAATGACATAGCAATATGATCTAATTTTTCTTGATCCTTTTTAACTAGTGCTACATTTCCCACTGATGTTAAGTATTCCCACGATCCGGATAAAAAGTCAAGTAAGTTGATCGTAAAACTTTTAGGATTCTGTAATATATTAATTTTTTAGAGCATGAATATATGTTTCTTTTCATTAACAAGATGTACTTTTTTTATGGAAAAGAAAATACGTTACCTCTATGGGGAACACAGGTTGTTCATTGTATATTTTTACAAATATCTCTCCAATAATAAGTTCGTCGGCATGAACGCTGTACTTAAAGTCGCTAAAATCGTGCTCAAAACTGTCGCTGCCATTTAATCTTTCTTGTCGTTTAGCTTCCAAATATTCATTCAATTCTGCTCTCGTTCCATTGTCCCAAATTAAATATGGATTCGAGCAATTTGAGTTTAGGATTTTCAATATTTCCTCCGGTTTATTTTTCGCAAGTTGACGCGCAAGATAAGGCGTTAATAAACTTTCTAGGGCAGCAACTGTGACAGGATTGAGAGGTGTTTCGTTTTCTTCAGTCATGTAACCGCCTAATCTAACACAAGCTCGAACTGCTAATTTAGCTAAATTATTGGCCACTTCTTGACGATTTTCATCCTGATTTCTTTCAACGCCACCTTCTTCCAACGTATAATCATAATTGAACATAAACAGCAATAAATGCCACAAAGCTCCAGATTGTAACAATTGCATTTGCAACACGCTGTCCGTAGCAAGAGAAGAAATACATTCTGTGGCCACTGAGCATAACTTTGTTAAATGCTGTAAACAGGATAAAAAAGATTTACATAATTTGAACAACAATAGAAATATGTATAAGTAAATTTAATTTGAAATATTAAATTAAAATTAAATTCATATTAAATATAATAACTAACCTTGAAATGTAATATTCTACAAAGATCTTTAACTAATTGCGGTAGTTCAATAATTCTGTCTTTACAACCTCTAAACGATCCAGCAACTGAGAAACACCTAGTAATATGCATGCAGACTTGTACTGCTACATCACCATGCTTACTAGATTTATTTAAAACGGAAACACATCGTGTATAAGCCTCTAACAGAATATCTAATCCCCCTTCTCTGCGAAGCTCCTCTGCATTCAAAGCAGAACAATGTACTGTATGATATGCAAGTTCGCTAGCAGCAGCTAGTAGCGGTGCAGATTTTGAGAATAATTGTTCGTCATCCGTTTCTAATTTGATTGTTTTGATTAATTGCGGATATCCTGCATATTTATAAGGTTGAAGTTCATCGGAATATCTATGAAAAAGAATGCTTTGTGTTTTTAAGATGAGCACTATATTATCAGGGTTTGGACCGTCGGTAGACCAACAACTTCGACTACACAAAAATTCATATGCTTGATTGACAGCTTCAAATTTATCCTATAAATAAAATTATATTTCCGTGAGACATACATTTAAATTTTTTATATTAATAGGAATTGCGCAATAACTTACTCTGCCTTGTGGATTTTTATCAGGATGATACATTTGTGCAAGCTTATAATAAGATTTTCTAACTTCAGCTTCATTGTGTTGCTTTCCACTAGCCAAGTGGAGGACTTTATAGGCTTCGTCCACTGTCATCAGTGGCGGTTTCTTCTCTACTTCTTTTTTCCATGTGTCTAGTACGTCTTTTAATAACCGCACCTAAACATTACGTGTTACTATGTCAAATGCATTTTAGAATTTTATAGAGATATATTTCGAAATATATTCGTTTCTTATTCACTCACAGGTTCAGGAATAGGCCATTGTGGAAATCTTACAGTATCGCAAAGGTGCCGCAAATAAAATATTTGACAGAATAATTCCTTTTCTAATTGCGGATACCTTATTGCAGGTATAGCAATATATTGATACCTAGCCATAGTGTGACTTCTTAATTTTGGAGAGAAATCTGCGATATGTGTTGCTATTTTTTCAATAAGCATTCTTCTCATCTCGGCATTCCAAATAGCTTCGGGCGTATCGAAATCTCCGAGGAATATTTGCGCAAACTTCTCCGCGCCGTGATTTTCTAAATAACTAACCATCGCATCGGGTAAAAGTTGCCCAAGAATACTTCGCTGCATAATATCGGGAGTTACATTCTACAAAAAATGGTATCATAGAAAATTAATTCAATAAAAAATAGTTGAGCAAGCGTAGTTTAATATATTTAAAACTTAGTGCTTTTATATATGTATCAAGAAAAGTTACACGATGACACTGTTTTATTTCATAAGTGATAGAAATGCGTGTTTTCGAGCATACTTACATCATCGCTTCTAAAAGCTTGTTTCGTGTGTGTAGTTTGTAAAAATCTTGCTACTGGTAATACATTAGAACCAGTATACATTAATATGAAGTAGAAGACACCAGTAAGATAAATTTTTGAAACGTCTGCATTATCCCGCATTATTTCACATAATAAAGTAGCTACTTTCTCAACTAAAACTGGGTCGAAAGTTAATAAAAGTTGAACAATATGAGGTAGGCACTGAAGATCAGATAACAACCGCTTCATTCGCGGTAGGGGTCTGATTACCGCGTCGTCAACATCCCTACTTGGAAAATATTCGCACATTTTGATTAAAATATTTAGAATTAAAGTTGCCAATTCGCTTTCGTTTATTACTGATACTCCTTTCGCAACTAACGTCCATTTTAATTGTGGAACTTGCGAAACCATACGCCATCCATCTAATCCCGGTGCCCAAACTTTTGTTTTGTATGAAATTTGATTTGTTAGATACAGCTCTTTTAAATCTTTCAAGCTTATAGGTCCTTTTCGTTGATCTCCATCATTATAGTACCATTCTTTCTCCATAACTTGTTGCTGCTGTGGTCCTGCTTCTATCACATTAGTTTGTGTAGGTACAACTGCTCGAGATGTATGCAAATGAGCTAATGTCAACAGATCCACTAATGCGCGCACTCCATTTTGATCCATTATATCCTTTACATTCCTTCTGTGTAATATGAGTTTATTTATAAACATGACTAGTCTATCGCGTTCCATTCTGTCCGTACAACGTTCCAGCATTCCTACAATATATTTTGTGTCCGAAAATGGACCAATGTCTTCGTAATATCGATCATATACTATAGTCATTGCTTGCAAGCAAAGGCACTTCATTTCAACTTTTGTTGTTAATATGAATCTATGGTACAAGTCGTTAAAAAATTCATACCTATGATGAAAGTAATAATTCGTTACTTAACATGCACAAAATAATATTAGAGACAAGTAAATGTAGCACTATAATTATTTACAGAACGTTTTATTATACTAGAATAGAAATTAAAATTGTAACACATACGATTTTCTTATGGGACTGTCTGGACTATCTTTTTCCAACAAAAGCCTTAAGTAATAATCGCCAATCTTCACTTCATCTGACAGGCACTGATACTGTACTTCAAATTCCCTATGATTCCAGGCAATTAGAGTTCCACCTGCTAAATCTTTATCAGAACTGAATGCACGAATCTCGTTCTCAAGCGCTGTTCTCAATTCCTCTCGTGTTTTATGGTTCCAAATTAAATTCGGCAGTGAATGATCCTGATTGAATTTATAATAAAACAAATTCCAGTTTGCTTCTGATTTGATTCTCTCTCTGCGTTTTCTTAATACTATTGGACGTTCCTTAATTTTCTCTTTACGCTCAATGCCAATTCTGGCTCCCCAATGCTGAAGAGCATGCTCGACATGTTTCTCAACCATACGCATTTGACGCTCGATAGCAATCCACTGTGGACTTTTTTTGTTTTTCGATGCATGATCTATCGCTATCTTTAAATTGTCACGATTATTTAATCTTTCTTTTTCAAGAAATGAATCGGGGACTTTTTCGTCAGAGTCTAAGTAATTTAATAAACCAACAGGCTGTACAAATGCACAATGAATACAAACTTAGATATTTTCATTTTTGTAATTAAATGAAAATAATATAACTTCAGTCAATAATAATTTACCATGATCCTTTTCAATAGACCCATAGCTGTAGGATGTCCTGTAACCCAAAGTCCTACGAGATGTCTACACAACTGTCTGTGTGTTAACAGTCTACCATCAGTACCAAGAGTAAAAAGACTATTTAACAGATGTCTTGGCAAAGCTCCCTCAGCAAGTGCAAGTTCTTGCATTTTTGCTGCAATCTCTGGCGCGCCCTCTTCAATAATTGCCCTCATTATCAATCCAGCACCTTTAACAATAGCTAGCGATGGATGCTGGAATAATTTAAAAAGTGACCTGCCTCTTGCAGCAACCATTTCTAAAAGGTTGTCGAAATGTTTACCATCAGTTGTTTCACTGTATGGTACACATAGAGCAAAAGTCAAAAGGTCAAGCATGGCAGAAACTACCAGAGCACCTGTACTATGATTCTGAAATATTAAAAAAAACATAATAGTATTGTTTTACAGATAGGTAAACAGTTATTTAAAAATATTAACCCTCCGGCAGGCGCGCCTTTTTTCGTAGTCCGTACACACGGCGTTAATATTATGAAATTTTAACTTTTGGGTCAAATAAATAGAAAAACCTTTTGAAAAATTTTTGACGGAAGACTAAGTCGTGAAACTAAGTTGTGTACTCTGTACACGGGCGCGCCCGCCGGGGGGCAAATTAATATGATTAATCTATACAAAAAAAAATACTTCGAAAAAGAAAAACGACAAATGTAGGATTTTAACACTTACAATATGGTTAATCCACATATCAAGTAAACTTTCCAAGAATTTATTACTGCTGAGAAGACTACTTTTGTTTAACTGTTCTTGTCTTAAATCACAATCATCATGCATTGGTTGCATAAGGGCACAAATACAATCTATAGCAGCTTGTGTTATACCAAAATTTTGCCTATTTAAAGCTTTTACAACTTTGTGTCCAATAGCTTCCCTGAATCCAGGAAGAGTTGTAAATGCAGTGAAACCAATTTTACTAGCAACCAATCTTCTTATAGCATGAAATTGTACTTCTATTTCATTGTTTGTTTCCAAATCTTTACTGACCAATGTATATAAAGCTCCAAGAATAAGTTTATCTTTATTTTCAGTAAAAAGACCCTGCAAGTAGTTATTTACTGTATGAACTATTTGCAGTTGCATTCTAGTTACAGTCCATTCAAGCGGTATAACATCCTGGACAAAAAGAGAAAATATACGTGTAACTTGTTGTGCAATCTATTTATTAATATAAGTAGTTATAATCTACTTTTAAATTCAATAATTCTCGAGAATATTATATGAAAAGAGTAATAATGAAATAATTTTTAAAGATAAAGTATATTATGAAAAACGCTTTATTAGAAATCATTTTGTACATGTAGTATAGATTTAACTTTTTCATCATTTATTAGATCATAATTGAATTTGGTTAGCATGTTTAATAAATATATTTATGCCAATTTTTGTGAATCATCACCGCTTCAATGTACTGTATCAATATACACATTCATATAAGAACAAATACAAGGTTTTAACACTACATGTAACATACATACATATATCTATATCATTAAATACAGTAGTGCCCACTTAAGTGTCCGCGATCGGGACCGACCGCGGTTGTTTAAGTGGGCATGGTTACTTCTTAGAACTCAACGAAAATAAGGAAAGAAGATAAGTGTGAGTGAGATACAATAGCTGACACCCGAAACCGTATATACAATCTTTCGATAAAGATCGGCGTCAAGTTACGCTCGACACGCTCGATATTCGAAGCCGCTTGGCTTCAAAGAATTGGTGGAAATAACCGCGGACACTTAAGTGGACACTACTGTACATTTAATTAATCTTACATCTTGGGTCACAGAATAATTCAGACCGCTATAGGGAATATTTGCATTAAATCTTTCCAAAATTTCAGCAAAAGTACGTCCAGTGGGTGTTTGCTGAAGAAATTTAAGATGAGATGTTTCAACTTCTTCATCAACAGGTAAATTCAGAGGTCCAAGTCTTTTTCCTCTATTTACAGGATACATTCTGACATGAACATCTCTGTTACCAGATGCTCTAACACCATCCAATAAGGATGCTAATAAGGAATCTCTATCTGTTGCAGTGTAACTGCGTGTTTGACCATTAAGGTATTGTATAGTAAATAGTTGTGGATTTTCGTTATCGCGGACCAAAGCAAATATATCTGATAAAGGTCTAAGAGTACAAACATTATATGTCTGAGGATCTCTCTCCAATAAACAAGTATCCGAAAGACAAAGAGTTCTTCTCTGAGGATCTATGTGCCTAGATGAGTATTTATGAACAGTGAATTCTGATACGCTTGTTATATGTTCGTCTCCGCTAAACTTGCCCAGTCTTTGAGCAACGAAATCGTCTAGTTTGATTGGTTCTTTCAAAACTTTTATGCTGATACCTAAATTGTTCATAGCTGATTCAAGCAGCTTTTTCTTAATCTCTTCCATATGTTGGGAAGCAAATAGGTGTAAACGTCCAAATCCACCGCACACAATTACAAATCCATTAGGATAATCTTTCATTGTAGCAATCCCTTCAAAATCTTTATAACAATAACTGGCTAATACCATGTTAGTTGCCGGATCTAATTGGTCAAGACTATATGGTGTCACTTCTAATACAACTGGTAATCTTGTATCAGACCAATGATGCTTGTAAGCTTGATACCTCTATTAAAGAAAAAAATATTATAATTTAATTATAATAAAATAATAATATTAAATTACTTAATAAATTAAAATCATAATATTCATTTAATAATTTATTTAAAAGAAACTATTTAATCGTTTGAGTCCCCGCGCGCCGCTTTCGCGCTCTTCAGATTTCATGTCGAAAAAACGCGTGTCGCATCGCTACATTTTTGTATATAAGTAATCCAAATAATACATTATGTACTTCGTTCTTACCTATCATAAACTAATAGCATATATATATGTATTTCATAAAATAATAAGTTACAAATTAAAAATATGAAAAATTTTAAGAACTAACAATAGCAAACATAGATTAAGACGAGCGCTATCGCGCTGTTCGGCTTTTTTCGATCGTGTTTTTTTTAAAGACCTCTGGTACTCAAACGGTTAAACTTTATTCAATTGCAATGCTATACAGGACATTTTAATCAAGACATTATTGACCATATGGCTAGGCTGATAACAACCTAGATTGAATTTCAATTCTAAGCTTATCAGTGTAAACATATCATAGAGAGTATATAACTCACCAAAATTTCTTTAGATTTCTCAACAAATTGATTCCTATATTTAAGAGCCTCGGTTAATAAATGAACTCTATATTCTGAACTAAATTTCATATTGTCAACTTTACGTTCTTTGCGCATTGTAATACTAAATTCATGAGAACCCAATTGATTTCTGTTTATTGGCTGCACACTTATGAAATCAGAATATTCCCATCTGTTTGTGACATCTAATGTGGTGGGATTGTATGTTGTTATACCCATGGATCCAATCGAAAAAATACGTTTATACCTATATTATAAGAGATAAATATTACTTTTCTTTGATATTGATATCACAAAACAAGATTAATATTCTATAAAATATTTAGGATACAGTAATAATTTATGATAAATAACATGTATCTTATAAATGCTCAGAAATATTTTAATCTATACAATAAGGATACTTATTAAACAGAAGATTTAAAGTAATGAGAAATCATAAAAAATTATTTTCAATATATTAAACTGCATTGTAGTTTTATGATGATTTATTTAATATTAAAATACATTGAGAATAGATTAGTAATATTAATCATAATATTGATGCTAACATCTTTTCATTAGAACACAAATATATGGAAGTTTTGATTAACTGTTTCTTATTATATTGTTATACTATCGATAGTAATTTAATTATATCGTTAATTATTTTATTTCTCAAGTTAAACCTTGTAGAAATAAAACATGTATGTATGTGGATTTTATAACAATGATGTTGTTTTATTTTACAAATAGGTTAACAGAAAGTTCCAAACCATGTGTAACTACATATGCAATTCCATTGTTTGTAATAGAGTTAATTACAAATTGTTAACATTGATTCATACAAAATCAACGAAACTTTCAACGCAACACGAAGATTAAAAGAAACGCGCACTTACTTCCCCTTCCACGAGTGTTTGGTGACAAGAAAACACGCCACATCCTGGTTACCCTTTATCGGCATCATTGTAACATGTCCTGACAATAGAACGCACGTATTATCTCGAATAATGCCTCAACAAAACACTGATTACTGTCCGTAAAAGACAAGTAACGTAGGAAGGACATTCGCATACAAATTGAAAAAGAATTATACGAAAGTCATTTTTGAAACCGCTGACACGAGAAATATCTAATATTTTTTAATCACGTGCACAATATTTACTTTTGTCTTACAAATGAATGATATTTAGGCACTGTTTGATCGCGTTTTACCCAGCAAACGTCATTTTCAACGGCTCCATCAGACTGGAAGCAGCCATGATGCTTGGGGGTGTTAACTAACAGCTGTTTCCAGATGTCAGTGCAGTCGGTGTAGGAAACTTCACTTATTTACGTACATACGAAATATGCGCTCCTGTTTTTCCCGCTCGTGTTAATGTACTATCTATGTAATCGTTTTCTACATTAATCATTCACAACACAGGGGATACGAATTTCAAAGAACATCGTAAAAGGTACAAATTCATAGTGTAAAAAGAAATGCATAAGTAGAACGATTGGTTACTTATTATCAATAAATTAACACTATAACTATGAATTGTAAGCTTTGTAACGACATTTATTCATTCAATGTAATCATTTATTTTTTGTGTCATGCTATGAATGAAAGTATATGTGTCAGATACAGTAATTCGAGCGTAAATTCAACAGATTTTGATTTGGTTGCTGAACTCAAAAGTCTGGGTTAGGTCTGGGTTAGGTCTAGGTTACCCTACTGAGTTACCCTATCATGTAATGCATCAATATTATTTACTTAATTTGTACTCCATTTACTTTTATTTATAAGATTGGAAGAACATTATTTGTACTTACAATTTCAATTACAACGTTATAAATTATATTTAGATATTAGTAATTTAGAATATTCGTAATATGTTGAGGTTATATAAGAGACATCCGATAGTTTTGTTTACGAATGGATGAAAAATATAAAATTTCGTACGTTTTATTACGTCATATGTTTTCATCGTGCTAGAAAATTTTCAATTGATTTTCCGACAAATTTATTAGTTAGAAATCTTTAAATTAAAGAGAACTTTAAGATTTAAATAATATACGAAGTATGGGTGAAATATGAAATTTTGTGTGTTATAAGTATCTTATTATCTTCAGTGTATGAGGTGAAAAAATGATAGATTATAATGAACCTAGTGAAAGTGATGAAGGAGAAATAAAGTCAGATTTTGAAGAAGATTTTCAAGAAGAACTATGTAATGTTCCTCATGTTTTGAGATTTATTCAGAGAATGCGCGAACATATTAAAAAGCAAAACAAAAAAATTGCTAAATTAAGGAGCAAACTTAATGAACATGTAAGGATTACATTCTTTCAATGTATTTTGCATCTCTCATTCTAGGTTTTGATGTATACTTACATTAATTACAGAGGAATCAGAAATTATTAAAAAGTAAAACATTAATTGATTATGGAACCCAAACAAATCCTTTGGAGTATGAGAAAGAGACACATCTCTTACACAATTGGAACACTAATAATGATAAAACATCAGCCAGTATTGTAGACCAAGTTAAAGAAGCTGCTGAATCTGCTCTGTTGCAAACTGGTTTTGTTTATGAGGAGACTTCAGGTCTATATTATGATTATAACAGTGGATATTATTATGATGCTGTAAGTATTTATGACAGAGCTGCAATATAACATTTTTATAATGTTATTTGACAATTGATATTTAAATATATTTAAAAAATATACTTTAGAAACAAGGTTTATATTATGATGGCAACTCAGGTACATATTATTATTACGACGAAGCCAGTGGAACGTATCAGTTCCATAGTCAAGCACAAGTAGCTGCAACCGAAGCATCCACGGACATTCAAAGCAAGAAGGAGCAGAAAACTAGAAAGGCAAATAAGGTTGAGATTTATTGTCATCTATAATATATTGACAGATCATAGATGAAAATTTTGGGTTTCAGGTTTTGGATGACATACATGAGTTAATAAACGGCCTTTCAAATATATCAATTGAAAAATACAGGCATCAAGCTCTAGGTAATTATCCTATGCTTTTAATATGCACACATGTCTCTCTTGTAGGATGAGGGGAAAAAACGCAAACTTGCAAAAAGAGAAGAACATTTGGATGATAACGAACTTGAGGAGGGTGAATGTTCAAGCAACGATAATGACAGCAATTCTAATGACATTACTCCAGAATTATGTACTAGTAGTGACAGTGACCACGAAGAAGATCAAGGTTTATTTTTAATTTGTTTTTTCAAATGTCACTTGCTGCAAGAGTGGAGGCTTTATTTTATTGATTTACGTGTTCACATAACCTAACAACAGCAGCTTTTAATATTTTTTTTTAAATATTTTATTAGAAGTGCCGTTTTTATCCATAATTAGATAACAATTATATACGTAACGATACAAGTATGCGTTTGCAAGTAATATTTGATACATGCTATGAAATTGCGAATATTGGTTAGTATATGATCCTACCAACAGTATTTTTTTTTATTTCAGACTTAGCAAAAGTGTATCCACCGTGCATGAGAATCATCGTTAAAGAAACTAATTTGCCGAAATTAAAAGTTGGAAGTCTTTTCCTTGTTGCATATACAGGTGGTTCAATCGGTCGGGAAGGTGACCATTCAGTAGTTATACCCGATATAAACGTTAGTAAGGTAAGTAGTCATAAACGCTTATACAGTAGTGCCCACTTAAGTGACCACGTTCGGGACCGGTCGTGGTCATTTATGTGGGCATGGTTACTTCTCAGAATTCAACAGAGATAAGGAAAGAGACACTTAAGTGGGCAAAAATGCGGTCACTTAAGTGGGCACTACTGTAGTTGTTACACAGAATTTTATACAATGTAATGCGTGTTGCATTTTTTGTCTCAGCATCATGCCCGATTTTCATACGATGAGGATAAGAAAGTTTATCAAATCGTAGATTTAGGATCGAGAAATGGTACGTTTTTGAACGGTAAAAGACTGTCTGTAGCTAAACAGGAATCCGATCTCTACGAAGTTTTGCACGGCTCAATTATACAAGTTGGAAGTACCAAACTATTGTGCCACATTCATAATGGAAACGAAACCTGTGGTCATTGCGAGCCTGGGCTCGTTCAACATAACAGTATTACGGAAGAAAACAAAACTTCCAAGAAAGACCTTTACAAGCAAGAATTGAGACGATTGAAGCACAAATTTGGGGTGGAAAAGGACAATATCGCGACCGCGAGCCAACTAGCATCAGGATACCAAGACAGAGCCCAAAACAGAAGACATTTTGTCGGTTCTTCGAATCATCACGTTAAAACCCATCAAAGTTCAACGGACGTGTAAGTATTACAAATTTTAGGTTCAAAATTTTTAGAAGTATGCTACAGTATTTGTGTTCTAAGTAAATAATGAATATAAATAAACTAATTACAATAGTAATAAAAAAAAAGTTTTTTACTTCCCTATCTGTAAAATTTTAGTTTATAGCAATTAAAAATTCTTAATCATTCGTGTTTCATTCATAGATCTATTGCAAAAGACAACAGAGGATTCAAGCTCCTATTGAAGATGGGTTGGAACGAGGGTCAATCACTGGGAAAGGAAGGAGATGGCAGAACTGAACCTGTAAGTCTTTGATTCTTTATTTATTTCTAGTGTATTTGACAATGCGTATATGTATGATTAATTCAACTAATATATACTATGACAGTAGTTGTACGCGTTTATACGAATATGATTTTGACTTTATTAAATGTACCAGTATTCGACGTTTTACCGCATTATATATCCGTAAAGAATAGAAAACGGAAAATTACTACCGATGAATCACAAATAGAGTCAGAGATTGAAAATACATTAAAGAAAAATAATAATGGTAGAACAAAGTTAAGTAAACTTTTATACTGAGTCAGAAAGCTTTGATACCCAGTTAGAAAAAAGAATGGTGATATAACGTAACTTCTTCTTGAGATATAAACTCGATCGAACTTTGTACATACATCATAATGGCCCTGAAAAGAGTCGATCGTGTGAGCGTCACAGTACCGATAAGCATCCTAAGATAGATCGAAACGCTTCGAAATAGAGTGTTTTCAAACATTACAGGAGTGAAACAGTTTTGTTTGCAAACCGTTTTGTATCTTCGCGTAGAAGATATACAACTTGCCCTAGATGCTGTAATCACCCTGTGCATTATCTCGATACTCTATTGTATTTATAGATATCAATATACCGTGTTACATTTAAAGATCGATCGATCGAAAGAGTACATGTTTTTCATTTGTCGGTCAATATAAAACGACTGCTCGCAAGATCGCCAGATCGAACCCCATGAAATTTTCCACGAGGTAAACATTTTGCTCTCGGACGATTAGAAATTGTTTGATCTAACATTTGTCGTGGTATTTATTTTTGTAGGTCCTAATGAAAGGTCCCGTCACCCGTGTCGGGTGACGCGGGCAGTCAGTGCGGCGATTAAAAATAAAAAGATACGTCCGGGGATGACTTTCCGCCTTGCGAAAGAATTTGATCTCGAGGCGAAGGACTTGGCGTACCGAAACGTCGACGAAGGACCCTCGAAGAGTTACGGTTTCCTTGCGCAAAAGCACTGACCCAATTAGCAATCTTTTTGTTCGCGCGCGACGGACGCGTTCGTGCAGACTGTCGATTAGACTCGGGGGTCTCGTGTGCGTCTCGTCCCGGCGTAGCCGCGCGAGGTCCACGGGTGACGCCAAACGGCAATTGCGTGCACGGGACGTTCCTCGTTTCACGTTTTGCCGTGACTGGTCGCCGCGGAAGCTCGGTGACAGCGCGTGTGTCCAATGCAAAAGGTGCATACAAACGCGGCTGTGGCTGTGGCGGCGGCGGCGCTCGGCCACTCATTAGCCGGACGGTCGCGCCGCTGCAATTCGCAATCCAGACTGGTTCGCCTTTTTCGCGCCGCTCTAAAAAACTTCCCGCTGCTCTCACCCCCTCCTGCTCCTCCTACTCCTCCCCCCGCCGTTGGGGTATTCTCTTTTGCTCCTAGCCACCCTCCGACTGACCCGTCGGTTTCACACGCACGCACACACGTGCACGCGGAAAAGCCAGACGGCGTAAGCTGGTCTCTCTGGGTCCTGGGCTGCTTACCCGTCCGGCCACATCGCATTTCGACGGCGACGAAACGAGCGCCGACGGCACGAGCAGAGCATTCGTATGATAACGAGCGTAACTCTGCGAGACATGAAACGGAATAGCGGGACGTGGGGAGTGGGTGGGGGGAGGGGGGGGGGACGATCCGGGGGCAGGAGAAACGAAAACGGGAGCAGCGTGTAGAACCGAGCGAGAGAGGGAGGGAGAGGTGCCCCGGGGTAATGAATGCAAATGTATTGAAATCCAAATCATTATTTTGTCTAGACGCATCGTATGCTCTATTGCACGCTCCGAGCTCAAGGAGGGGGCACACGAGTCGCGGGGGTGGATTAAAGGACTGGGGGAAAGGGGACCCCGTTGTTTTCTCTCGTCTCTGTGTACCTTGAAGCGCGGCTGCTAATTTGCCTTGTACCTTTATCCCTGTGATGTCCGACGATATCTTCTTTTTTTTTGTCTTTTTTTTTTCTCCCCGACAAATTTGTCTGCGACACCCCCTGCGTCGCAGTCCTTGTCATCGCAGACGTTGGGTCTTTTTACTGCGTGATTTTAGCTGTCGCGCCGAAACTCCTTCGTCCGGACTTTAGACAGAGACGCTGCTAACGATTTTCTATAAGGTGTCCGTACTTTATCGAACAGACACCAATTAGTGATTGTAATACCGGTAAATCGGAAAAATAGCCTTTCGATAATCACCGCTTATATCTAAATCTCCATGGTTTGTTAAGATACTGTTATTTGGAGTTAGTTTCATCAAAAAGATAAAATAGAGAAACTAATTAAGATACATCGAATATTTAATTTTGATTTGCTAAACAAACGAGGCTCTGTATGGAAAAAAAATATTACACGTATTCCGCTTGTCTTCTCGTAAAGAAACACTTCCCTTTCAATTATACAATGAATTACGCTCCACCCCGGATACGTTTATGATCCGTAAAATTGCTTCTACTGCATTTCAACACACTTGCTTAGCATCGAAGGCGGAAAACTCCGACCCATGAGAATACTAATTATTTCGCACACGTTAACACAGGGATACCGTTTCTAAAGATTGATTTATGCTATCCGTTCAGACACAAAGTAGTATCAGAATGGTTCCGTTCGGACTAAAGACACTGATTGTACTGTCAGTTCACATCCGACATAAGATCCTGTGTAGAATAGTTATTATCGTTTGATAATATTTTCCCGTTTGTTCTTATTTTAATTTTATCAGTTTCTTTATTAGACGAATAATAATAAGAAAAGGAAACGTTACAACGGACAAAATTTGGTATCAAATTCTTCAGTTTCCATTGTCTCAGAACAGCTTAACAACGCGTATTAAAAATAGTGTTACTCCCATAATTGAGCCGCTGTTAGAAGCATCAAAGCCTCCCCTTCGAAATGGCTTTTGGTTTATGTCGATACGAGTTTCCATTTTGGATATATCATAATTTATGTAAATTACTAATTTTATTTTTAATTTGACTATCTCTGTCTCTGTCTGATCGCACGTGAGTCGAGATAGTCACGTGACCAGGAAGTCGTAGCATTTCCAAGAATTTACTACGCGCGGTCATTGACCTCACGTCGATGTCAACAAAGAAACGTAAACAAACGCTTCGAACCCGTATATCTCCGGAACTAACCACGCGATCGACTCGAAATAAAAATCGTCATATCTCTGGAACTAATTATGCTATCGACTTGCATGAACACTCGTTTTAAAGGGCACTTCTCTACATTAAGAATAACTGTAATATATTCAAGTTTAAAGACGCGACTGCATTCTTTTAGAATTAATTATGACTGTATCGCATGCATGGTCGGGTAGTTTTACTCATAAACTTAAATTTGATAATAAACAGTCGACGATAGTAGTTGAAGGGAATGAAAATTACGATCGAACCAACGAATATTTACTATTAGTCATTGAATCTTTTTTTTTTTGTGGCCAGTCGATAATAAAAACGTTCAACTCGCGTCGGAGCACTCAAATAAATGAACCTGCCGAGATTTCATTCGGTCAGATAGAACACGCACCACCTACACCTGTTAACGGCACCTTCATACCACACGCGACAATTTTATACTTTATCGCATCCTCGTGGTTTACTGGCAATCGCCATTCGAGAGCTTTACAATGTCTGGTTTACGGACTCGAACCGAGCGCAAGTTCTCTCTCTCTATTTCTCGTCGAGCAATAACCCCTTTTCGTTTTCTTCCGTATCCAGGTTTTCACCCCTCGATCGCGAGCGTGTTTCCAGTTTACGATGTATGCATCCGCGACGCGTAAATTGTAAAAGCCAAAGGTCGATGTAAAATTGGAATAGCTGCGATGTAAAACGATTCAGCTGCCAGGGAAGCTCGTATAAATCAATTTTACAATTTTACATAACGTTCGAGTCGGGCAAAATATAATTCGCGAATAACGAATAAATCATCCTCCAAAAATGTTACAGTCTCTTAACATCGTCAGGAATATTTGAAATTGTGCAGAATTAAAGAAATATTTTAAATAAATCTTGAAAAGAATTAAATTTTCCATAAAAAAAATCAATTATAATTATTATCTTCGATTAAAATACTAGTTCGGTGATTTATCGGAAAGTATAGTGATATATTCGTCTTTGGTAATTAGGATTTTCGTCGTACACAACCGTTGCCTAACTTGATCGTTACTTCGAACATCTCAGTTTCTTTTACGCATAGCGTACCTACGACATCGCTTATAAATAACGCAATAATGTTACAATTTATTTCGAACTGTAAAGTTTACGCGGCTCGTAACGTCGATCGTTAAACAATTGTGTTCGAAGTGCAATCGATGCATTGGTTACAGTGCGCTTCCATGTAAGGCGCTCTTAAACTGCATCCGGAAACTGCAACAATTTCATTTTATGGACTTTCTCGTCTATCACCGACTGTTGCGAGCCATTTCACGGATACAGCGTGAACGTTTACGGCAGTACCTTTTACGATTTACATTCATTTCCATATTGCATCTGCTTGCCCTTTACAGTTCGCCGAGGAAAAACGCGACTGATTAATGACGTAATAAATAATCGAACGCGGCTCCCCGAGGGAACGAGGATTCGTCGTGTTTCCATAAAACGTTCTTTTTTTCGAAAGGAAATCTCTACGACTCCCGTTTGAATAGAGAAGATAGCATCGAAGTATTTCAAAGGGGTGTTTTAGATTTTTCTCGGAATTAATCAGAATTATAAGTAATTGTAATTACTTATTGGTTATTTATAACTTGAATAAAATTTTGCCCGTCTCTGCTTGAGAAAATATTAAAAATTTCTTTCGCAAACTATACAAAAGTAAAAATCAACCCTGTCGAAACAGATATTTCTCCCCATCCGTTACCAACAACTTTCTAAGCGTGAATCAAAGATTCAGATCGTTCATAATGGCGTTCCGGCTGCAACTGTGTCGCTGATTAATTATATTTCCTGTCTGCGAGCGCACGGGTCGAAATCAGTTAAGCGAATTCCGACTCTTGAACT